ATTTCCTCCATTTTTTTTGATTTCAAGCTCCAGAAAAGGACATTTCTGCTTTTTTTCGTTAGAATGGCTGCTGAAAGAGTTCTTTCTCATTTTGACGTCAACTCTTTCTTTAGTTTTAAAATCAACTGTAACGTTTATGGTAATGCTTTCCTGTCATGAATTTTCCCACACAATAAATCACCTTGAACTTACCACTTTTAGCGAATTTAGAAAAAAAGTGTTGTTGAGAATGCACTACCATGAAAACTTGCTATATTTTCTTCTTAGTCATTTAAGACCATAATAAGGGAAGACGTACTTTTGAATAAGGAGTCCTCCTTAATGAATTATTTGAACTTTAAAGATATAACAAACAATTAGCTTATTTTACCTTGGTTATTATAACATAAAGAAAATCCTTTAAAATTTTTTTCATAATATTCAATGACGCTTATGATCAGTTTTCATCTTTCAGGACTCATCGAATGGATCTTCCACATATCAAATTGAAATGCTCAAATATATTAAGAAGACATATCCTCATGTCGATGTTATAGCTGGAAATGGTGCTGGGATATCTGCCCTGATTAGAGCGTAATGTAATCTTAATTTTAATATTTCAGTAGTTACAAAAACGCAAGCGAAGCTCCTCATTGATGCTGGTGCGGATGCGTTGCGAGTAGGCATGGGCAGTGGATCTATTTGCATCACACAAGATAGTGGGTCCTTCGGAACTTATGAGAATTCCAGAAGAAAGTTCTGAAACTTTCAGTAATGGCTGTGGGACGAGCACAGGGCTCCGCGGTCTACGCAGTCTCCTCGTATGCAAAAACAAGAGGTGTTCCGGTCGTAGCTGATGGCGGAATTCGCGACGTTGGCTACATTACCAAGGCTGTAGCTTTAGGTGCAAGTGCAGTAATGATGGGTGGTCTTTTGGCTGCTACTACTGAGGTTAGTGCTTGAGAATTTTAATAGAGAATGAAAAAAATAGAAAAAAGAAGGTTTCATGGTTAATGGCTAAACTTGTAACTTTGAAGGCGCCAGGTGAGTACTTCTGGGGTCCAGGTGGTGTGCGGGTGAAGAAATACCGTGGTATGGGTTCATTGGATGCCATGGAAGCACATGCATCTAGTCAGGATCGCTACTTTACATCGTAAGGACTGTTAATTCTAGCGTTAGCTAATTGCATCATTCAAACAGCATTGACTTAGGGATTCGGACCAAATAAAGGTCGCTCAAGGAGTGTCAGCTACAATGAAGGACCGTGGTTCTTGTCACAAATTTTTACCATACCTTGTACGAGGGGTCCAGCATGGATTTCAGGATATTGGTGTTCGCTCATTACAAGAACTCCAGTGAGTTCTATCCGTTTGAACTAATCGTTGCTTGATGAAAAAATCACGTTTTAGTGAAAAAGTAGCTTCCGGTGAAGTGCGTTTTGAACGGCGATCACCCAATGCTCAGCTCGAAGGTGGTGTGCATTCATTGCACTCGTAAGTTTTACAAAAAATCTCAAAGATTTGTAAGAGCAGTGCAAATTAGCACTTGCTCTATAGCGGATGATTTTGGCGTTACTTTAGTCCGCGCTTCATGTAGTCACTCAATCGCATGTAGTTTGAGCATTGTTTAGAGTGACAGAGGAACTCAGCGATAGTAACTCAAAATTCTCGCATAGATGAAAGTGTCTATATTGCACTGCTCATAAACACTGAAGTTTTTGGACATCTTTACTCTTCTTTCATTTATAGCGCAAAAACTCCTCAAAATGTCCAACAACCAGTGTACTCGATATAGGTAAATCCCTTGGAGCGATTTGGGAGGCGAAGCTTTTTTTTCGGGAAAAAGTACGGGAATTAACATACTATCAGCTAACATTAAGTTCCTCTACGGACTGGAGGGCGCATATTTACATGTGTTTGGGTCTATGTAAAGTGTAGTCATAATCAGCAAATCCATTTTGGGTCTAGTGCATTTTATTCCTGACTTGTTTCAGAAATATAATAAATATAAATGTGCAGATGTATCATGCTGATTCTTGATAGAATAAAGAGGATAGATTGAATTATAAATTTCATATTGAATCTATCT